TAGGTTTTTAAAGTATTCCCTTATAATGTTCTGTATCTTTCTGGTGTCTGTTGAGATGTTTACCCTTTCATCTCTGATTTTGTTGATTTGGAGGTGCTTTCTTTCTTTCTTTTGGTTAACTGGGCTAACGGTCTATCAATCTTATTTATCTTCTCAAAGAACTAGCTCTTGGATTCATTCTTTGTATTATTTTCTTTTTTTCTATTTCATTAATTTCTGCCATGATTTTTGTTTTTTCTTCCTGTCTGCTGGGTTTGGGTTTTATTTGTTGTTGCTTTTCAAGTGTCTTGAGTTGCAATGTTAAGTCATTTATTTGTGTTCTTTCCCATTTTTTAATGTAGGCACTTACAGCTATAAACTTCCCTCTAAGGACTGCTTTCAATGTGTCCCAGAGGTTTTGTTGTGTTATATTGTCCTTTTCATGTAGTTCAAGGAATACTTTTATTTCTTTCATAATTTCTCCTTTGACTCATTCATCATTGAGGAGTGTGTTGTTTAATCTTCATGTGTTCATGTGGTTCCTGGTGTTTCTTCCGGTGTTGATTCTAAGCTTTTTCGCATTGTGGTCTGATACAATGCATGGAATTATCTCAATCTTTTTGTATTTGTTGAGGTTTGTTTTGTGCCCCAGTACATGGTCGATTTTGGAGAAGGTTCCATGGGGCGCTGAATAGAAAGTATATTCTTTGGTGCTTGGGTGGAATGTTTGGTAGATGGTTGTTAGGTCCATTTGATTATGGTATTGCTTAATTTAGATGTCTCTCTGTTAATTCTCTGTCCTCTTGACCTATCTAATGGTGACTATTAATGAATTGGGATTAATCTGGGTCTTAAAGTCTCCTGGTACTGTTTTTATGAAGTTGGGTGCATCAGAGTTTGGTGAATATATTTATGATTAATAATATCTTCTTGGTTTATTGTTCCTTTGATGAGAATGAAGTGGGGATCTTTGTCTCTTCTGATTAGTTTTAAAGTCTATTCTATCATATATTAGAATTGCAATGCCTGCTTTTTTCTTAGTACCATTTGCTTAGTATATTTTTTTCCATCCTTTCACCTTCACATAGACAAAAAAAGATGGGTTTTGTTTCATAATCCATTCAACTATTCTGTATGTTTTGACTGGGGAGTTCAGTCCATTGATATTTAAAGTTATTAATGAAATATGTGTATTGAATCCTATCATTTTTATTTCTGTTCGCATTCTTGATATAGCTGTGCATTTCCACAGTTATACCTTCAATGAATTTCTTTCCGTTACCCCTTGGGTACAGTTGTTCCTTTCTTCAGCTCTTTGTATTACTTCAAGAACCTTCTGAAGGGCTGGTTTTGTGGATATGAATTCTTTCAGCCTATTTATGTCATGGAAGATTCTTCTTTCCCTTCAACTATGATAGACATTTTGGTTGGGTAAAGTAATGAGTTGATATCTACAGTCATTGAGAACTGGGAATACTTTGGTCCAGGCTCTTCTGGGTTTCATAGTTTGCACTGAAAAGTCAGTTGTAATCCTGGTGGGTTTTCTTTTATATGTGACTTGTTGATTTTCTTTTGTAGCTTTCAGTATTGTCTCTTTGCTCTGAACATTTAGTGTTTTTACTATGATGTGCTGTGGAGAGTTTCTTCTGGTCCTGTCTATTTGGTGTTCTACATGCTTCTTGTATTTGCATAGGCATGTCTTTTTTTTTTTAATTTGGGGAAATTTTCTTCTACAATCCTGTTGAAGATCTGTTCCAGACCATTATTTTGAGATTCTTCTCCTTCCTGTATGCCTATGATTCATAAGTTTCACTTTTTTATGGTGTCACACAATTCTTGCATATTCCATTCTTGTATTTTAAAAAAATTTTCATAATCTTTACTTGAGTGGTCTAATTTGTTCACTTTATTGTTCAGTCTTGATTATTCTGTTTTCCATTTCATTCACCCTATTGGTGAGGCTTTCTCCTGTCGTTTCTAATTGGCTTACTGAGTGTTTCACTTCCTTCTTCATTTCAGCCTGAGTATTCTTCAATATTTCTAACTCTTTTCTGAATTCATTCAGTTTATCCCTATCTTCCTTCAGTTCTTTGATTTGTCTGTTCTTTAATTTCGTTGAATTCTTTTATCATGTTTATAATTGTTCTTTTGAGTTCCATGTCCTGAGTTATCTCTAGGGGGTTCTCATTGTACTCCTCTAGGGGACGATTGGTATTTGGTGGGGTTATGTTATTTTGGTTTTTCATGTTATTATTTTTTCTCTGTGACTTTGACATGTGAATTTTCTTTGTAGTTTCTGATTCTTGTGTGAGACTCAAGCCTTCCTTTGTTGAATTTAGATGTGCTTTTTTTGGGTAAACTTTGTGTGCCTTTGTGGTTTACTTGTTGGGCATGAAAATCTGGTTGGTCTAGGCTTCAGGTTCTTTTGATTTTATATTGCAGTGGCCTAATTGCTTTTGTCTTTAGGAGTTCCCACAGAGGCCCAAGTGAGATGAGGCAGGGATGCTCTCAGCCTTTGTCCTAAGGTCTGGGTCCCTCCGGGAAAGATGCTGGCTTCAGAAATTTGGGGGCTGGGCTGGCCTGGGAGAAGGGCCCAGGAAAATGCTGGTCTCAGGAAGCTGGTGGCTGTGCCACCCAGGGAAGTAAAGGGAGGTGAGGGCGGGACCAGGCCCAGAGGGTTCCTGGGGGCCTCAGGGAGGAACTGGGTTGGTCTGGATGCAAAGGATCAGGAAGCAGTGGTGGCTCTGGGCGGAGAGTTTAGCCCTGGTGTCTGGAGTGCCAAGAGAAGATATGGGCCTGTACCCAGGCTAGGAGGAGAGGGGACGGGGGAGCTGGGAGGGTGAAAGAGGCTGGGGGAGTCAAGGCGGTGGGCATGCTGGACTTACCCAGGGAAGGTGTTGGGACCAGGACACTGAAGGCAATGCGGCCCAGGAAGCAAAGGGAGATGAGGGCAGGACCCAGTGAGACCCTTGGGACCTTTGTTATTTTTATGTGTATGTGTGTATTACGTACATGTGTAAGTGCACCCACATTAGTGCAATCCCCTTGGAAGACTGAAGGTGTTGGGTTCCCTGGAACTGAAGTTATGGACAGTTGTTAGCTGTCATGTGGGTGCTGGGAATTGAACCTGGGTCTTCTGCAGAACAGCCTGTGCTCTGAACTGCTGAGCCATCTCTCCAGCCTCATTTGCTTATTTTTAAGATTTTCTTTTAAGGTCGGCATGGTGGAGCATGCCTTTAATCCCAGTGTTCGGGAGGCAGAGGCAGACAGATCTCTGTGAGTTCAAAGCAAGCCTGGTCTACATAGTGAGTTCCAGGTCAGCTTGGGCTACATGGAGACCTGGTCTCAAAAAAAAAGAAGAAAAAAAAATTTTTCTTTTAAAATTTTTTGTGTTTGCTGGGCGTGGTGGCACATGCCTTTAATCCCAGCACTTGGGAGGCAGAGGCAGGTGGATCTTTGTGAGTTCGAGGACAGCTTGGTCTACATTGTGAGTTCCAGGACAGTTGGGGCTACAGGGAAACCTTGTCTCAAAAAGACAAAATATAAAACAAAATAAAACAATAAAACAGTTCCAGTGTATCCAATGCCCACCTCTGACCTCAGTGGGTACCTCCACATGGCATACATACACACACAAAAAACAAAATAAAATAAATATTAAAAAAATTTATGTGTTTTGTGTGTGTCTGTGTGATTGAATGCTGTATGCTGCATGTGTACAGGTACCTGTGGATGCCAGAAGAGGGCACTGGGTGTCTTGGGGCTGGAGTTACAGGCAGTTATGAGCTGCTTTATGTGGGTGCTGGGAATCAAACTTTGGTACAATGTAAGAGCAAGTGTTCTTTTTTTAAATATTTTTTTATTTATTATTTTTATTTTATGTGTATGCATGTACTGCCTGCGTGTAGGTAAACCACTGAGCCATCTCTCTGGCCTCCAAAATAACTTCTCTTTTTTTTGTGTGCTGCACAGGGGTTTGAACCTAGAATCTCACTCATGTTAGGCAAGTGCTCTACCACTGAGCTGCATCCCCAGAGTTATACGTCACAGTTTACTAACCTGTTCCACAGTACCATCTCAGTCTCTTTAACAATCTTATGAGATAGCATTCCCATTTTGTAGCTTATGAGACTGCAGCTCAGGGAGGGAAGTGGCAAGTCACGGCAAGGTGACTTAGCTGCTCTTTCTTGTCTTCTGCACAGTCACAGCACAGGAGAGATGGTAGAGAAAAACAGTCTGCTCAACCAAGACAAACATCCACATGGCAGCGATTCTTTATTATATGAGGGTATTGGCCAAAGGACAGATTCCCATCTGTCAAAGAGACCCACCAAACAGTCTCAGTGATCCGCTGGGTGATGCAGTTAATGTAAGATCACAGTGGATATTTACTGCATGCTTGCACTGTGCTGGCAGCTGGAATCTTTGTCCAGACACGTCTTAGAAAAGGCCCAGCTTCAATGATTCTGACTTGCATAGATTGAGTACTCCTATATGTAGAAGTTCAAAAACTTCCTTTCTTATCTAAATGGGAGAAAAGAACAAAACAACAGAAAGGTTACAGTCAACCAAAAATGTTCCTGGTGAACAAAGTCAACATCTGGGTTCCCATGTGTTTATACAGCTGTTGTGGCCAGAATCAGAGAGGGCAAAAGTGATCATCCATATTTGACTCGGAGTTGAAAGTCACATAAGTAGAGGAAGAGGTACTATGTACAAGCTCATTTTTATTAAAGTGCCTTTTTGTTTGCATCCATCCAAAATAAAATGCCATACAAATGTTCACGGACTCCAAAGTGTGCTTTCTATAACCCCAATTATATGCAAGGTTCAATATAAGACTGGCTACCCAATGATAATTGCTACAGCATGAACATAACAAAAATAGCTATGAGGACAATTTTTTATATTATCTCCACTATTATAATAATTATTTTATAATATATTATTATAATTAGTAAATAAGTGGATTATTTGATAAAAGAACTCATCAAATCTGGCCTCATGTGTCTAACATAAAATTCTGTTAAATAAGTAAAAAAAAAAAAACAAAATAAAACTGTCAATTCAAAGTGCATGAATGTGTGTGTGGGGAGGGGCACATGCAGACACACATAAGGAACTGTGCTAATAGCTTTTTAACTTGAACTGATGCATAATATAACTCACCAATCAATTATAATTAGGTTTGTTCAATCTGGGGAAGCAGTTTTATGTAGTGAACTAATTCATCCAGCATGTTTTAGAGGATAATTCCAAGCCTCTCTGATAGTCACTGCCACTATTTATTCCTGGTGGGTGATAGACAGCTTCACTAATTACTGAAAAAAACTTTTCTCCCCTGTATCAGACTATAGTTGAAAAACTGGTGCATGATAACATGGTGGGTGGCAGAATAAAAATTTCACTGTATGATGGCAATGGTTTAAATATACAATGAGCTTTGCTGTGTCCACAAAGACATTCAATCGTGCAGCTGGAATCCACTGAGGCACAAAAACCTGTCCACAGTAAACCAAAATATCTTTGTAAATTAAGTAAGAAGGTCTGAAGGGGATATGGAGAAACCAACAGCAAGACAAGCTTCTATCGCTCTTCCTTCCACTTCAGCCAAAAGTGTACACATGAGAACAAAAGGCAAAGCTGATGGTGTCTGCCAAGGAGAGGCACAGATTGCCTCAGATCTTCTAGTTTCTTTGAAGTACAGATGTCCTACTGGGGCAGGGGTCATGGTCATTTAGTGATCAACAAAGTTGATTCAAATGATACACATGAAGAGGATGTAGCTATGTGTCAGGGGATGAGATGGCTCTATAACAGTTACCTCAGAGTTAAAGAAAGAAATTATTTCAAAAGCTAGAATGTGCTGGCTCACCATGTCAAAGACTTTATTACTGTGTTTGAACTCAAGTTCAAATTAAAAAAAGGAAAAAGATTAAAGACAACTGCTGATTACACAGTACCTCAGGAATGTCCATCATTCTCCTCATCTTCTGATCTCTCCAGTTCCAGTCAAAAACCAGAAACTTTAAGGGGTTCAAATTAAGGCCATCTGAAAGACAGTAAGAGTTGCTGGAGTAAAGGCCTCATGACATAAGCTTATTAAAATGATTTTTATTTTTCTGGTTGCCTTCTGCCATTTGCTGTCCTCTCCCTCAGTAACTAATCTCTGCACATTAAGTGCTGCTCTTGCCTGATGGAAAACAAATGCAGCACTCCTCACAGCTTTATCACTGCTTCTGAGGACAGCGCAGAAGCTGCACTAGCTAAGCATGTCCATTCTAAGGTGCTGGCCAAGCCTCTGTTTCATGAAAGCCAGAAGGTTGCCTTCCTGACAGGGATTTGAAAAGCTGTGTCCTGTAATCAGGGCTAGTGGTCTTTCAGAAAAGTCTGCATGACTCTGAGGAGGTTAAGTGGGAGGAGGATGAGGACAGGGTTGGGTTACCCTTGGATGAGGCTGGTAAGTCATGCAAGGATTACAAGCCCTCTGTTTCTGGCCTACCCAGAAAAGAGTTGTTACACCTGAAGGCTGGAGGAGACCTGGGACTGTCCAGTCTCAGAGGTCTTGGAGTCGGGTGCACACTCAGCTCTTCCCACTGTTCCAAGCTCTGGTATATCATGCATGGAAACTGTTCTGAAGTTCTCCACCTGCAGCTCTTCCCCACGCTGTTCCCTCTCTGCCCAAAAGACTTTTTATGCTTCTTATAATTAAAATGCCTTTTACTTAAAATGCTTTCTGCAGAATTAAGATAGTAAACTGAGAAAGATAACAGGTTAACAGTCTTCCCTTAAAAACAACCACTGTTGTCAAAGCCATCAGGTATAGCCCTCTCTTAAATGAAATGGACCTCTATATAGAGCTTTAAAATATTTACTATTTGACAACCAATTTAAAAAATACTAAAACAAAGTTATCTGCAAAGATGATCAATGCAGTATTATATGTAATTTCAAAAACTGGATAAAACCCAATCCAAATAGTCTACAAAAAAAAGAATTGCAGAAGGACAAGATAATAGATATTACAAATGAAAAAGCAAACCAATTTCATGAGAATGAAAGTCCTCATAAGGTGTGTGTGTGTGTGTTAAACAAGTACATTGTAAAATTGTGGGATATAATATGATCTATGCTTTGTAAAAAAATATATATATATATGTGTAGAAAAGACTGAAAGGCAGTATATTCATTATACTTAATAAGCAATTATCTCTAAAGTGATTTGCTTTTTCATTGTATTTTGTTTTTCCTTCTTTTAAACAGTTATTTAGTGTGCATGTTTGTGCATCTGTGTGGGCCTGCACATCACATCTCCAGTGTGAGGGTCAGAAGACAACTTGGGGGGAGTCAGTTCCTTCCTTACACTATGTGAGTTCCAGGAATTGAACTCAGGTCATCAGTCTTGGCTGCAAGTGCCTTTACCCTCTGAGCCATCTTTCTGGCCCTCTCTGTACTTTCTTTCATTTCTCATAGACTCATAGAGAAATCTCAATTGTCAAATTAAAACAAGAAAATTATGACTATAGTTTTACAGATCCCATGTCATGGGATGTCTTTCCATGTCTGGAAACGCTCCTTACATATGGAACACATAAACATCTTGCTACATCATAAACAGCTATATAAAATGAGTGACATGCCATTTGTCTAGCTTTGATAGAAATTCTGTTTCTAGAGGGCTTAGGCTATTTTTTTTTTAAAAACACTTTATGTATAACCTAACACTACGGCTAATGTATATTAAATTGTTTATCCAATCAGATTCAGAATTAAAAGTGTTCATTGATATTACATAAAAATCAACAGCTCCTTAAATGATTTTTCCACATGAAACAAGCCTTCACATTGAGTTCCAACTGTGTAGAAAGCTAATCAGCAGCCTGAACAGCTTTGTTGTCTCCCTACTTTCCTCCCCTCCTCTCTGTCTCTATTTTAAATAAAAAGTTGTCCCTGCTTGTGTGTGTGTGTGTGTGTGTGTGTGTGTGCGCACGCGCGCGTGTGTGTGTGTGTGTGTGTGGGGGGGGGAATCCCCAGGAAGGGGTGAGATGAATCTTGGCTGAGAGTTGCGGGGAGGCAGATAGCCTACATCTCTCCTGATGCACAATCTCCCCCAGATCTGTGTCCCTTAAAAGGACCCACTGGAATCTATCACTTGTTCCTTACTTTTCAATGCCTTTGTGTCTACAAGACCAATACCCCAACTTGTTAGCTTACTGTTCCAGGTGCTCCCTCTACAACCTGACTTTTTAATGGAATCACTTTCCAACTACAGCTCATGAAGCCACCAAGCAAGAAAGTTGGTGTCTTTCATTTTAATTCTTCAGCTAGATCAGAAGGCCCCTGAGGGAAAAGGCTCTGGAACTAAGAAGGCCTGGACTGAGGCCTTGGAAGGAGACACTTGACTCTTCTGAGATTCCATTTTCTAGCCAGTGAGGATGCTGAGTACTAGTTAGAAAGCATACAGAGGCATGTCCAGCATAGCATTAATTGCAAACAGGAACTCAAAGAATGTTTGTCTGCCTTCCCTATCAGAGGCCTCCCAGGTTCTTTTTTTGTTTGTTTTTGGTCTTTTTGAGACAGGGTCTCCCTGGAGCCCCAGCTGGCCTGGAACTTGCTAAGTAGACCAGGAACTCAATAAGCAGACCAGGCTGACCTTGAACTCATAGAGATCTGCCTGCCTCTGCCTCCTGAGTTCTGGGACTAAAGGTGTGTGCTACCACGCCCAGCTTCTCCAAGGTTCTTAATTCTTTGCTTTTGCACAGGACTCTGCCCTTGGTGGGTTTAATAACCCTAGATTATTGTTATCTGGAGAGAAACACCAGGTGGTTTAAATTTTGTTTGCTTCTTGGTACTGAATTACTATACTGCTGAATATACTACTTTTACATATAAAATAATTCAGGAATAGCCTCAGATAGTTAGAAGAAAAAGTTGTGCTGCTACACTAAGTAATGTGAAAATGAGTAATGAAAAGAAATCATTAAATCTGAACCAGCTTCATGGTGCAGGTCCTTAGTTTCAGCTGCTCTGGAGGCTGAGGAAGGAGATGTCAAGGTCAAGGCCAGCCTAGGCAACTCAGTGGAACAAAGTAAAAAGTTCAGTGGTAGAGTGTTTACCTAGCACGCATGAAGTCCTAGGTTCAATCTCCAGTACCTCAAAAACAACAACAAACCTCACAAAACTGAAGAATCTGGTAAGAACAGGTAATACAATCATCAGCAGGGTAATAGGTTTTTAGGCTTTGGCTTTGAGAAAGTTAGCAAACTGTTAAAACCAGTAGATTCTGGAATACTTACTGTGTAAAGCACTAAAAGGGAAGTATACTTAGGGGGAATGTTCTGGAATAACTGTTTCATCTATAGAAATAGCATTTTCATTTCAGTGTGTTTTATATGACAGCTTTCAAATAGAACAGGAGTCCCTGAGAACCAAGACTCAGTTACCCGAGAAGGAAATATTTATTCATCATAGTTGGTTCTACAAATTTCAGAGACTGGAAATAGTGGTGGAGCCCTGGCGGATCCACTCAGCAACTCACAGCCCCTGGCATTTGAATGTGTTTAGCTGGGCAAATCCATTTCAGTGGGCCAGAGCCCTTGTCACTCCCCTACTGCACTCACTGGCTGGCTTCTGGGATCAGGGGCTGAATTGCCCACTAGGTGATTAACACAGAGGTCTGTGCTTTTCCTATATCCTAATGTGGTTCCCTAGACTCACATAGGGGTAAGAGAGATTTCCAGCTCTGAGGAGAAATATCACTGTCCTCATTTCATACCTTGTTTGACGAGTTCTTTAATTCTCCCCGGAGTTCCCACACCTAAGTGTACCACACGCTTCTCCAGCAACTTTACCTGCTCCTGGACCTATTCCAAGATGGAAGAGAAGAAATGGAAGGGACAGTAAGTAAGTACAATCATAGGTCATTTTTAGAGTATTTTATCTCTAAGAAAGAAAGTAGCAAATAGGACAAACTCCTGTATGAGACCAATTTCTAGGGCAAAAAAGAGATCTTCCCAGAAAACTGGTCAATTCTCAAAGAACCCAGGAGTCAAACTTCTGTTCGGGAATGGAGCAGGGAAGAACAGTGACTGTGGTGGGCCAAGGGAGGTTTGTGGAGGCATGGAATGCAGAGAAAACCCAGAACAGTTGCTAAATGTGTCCTATCAGGAAGGCATAAAATAAAACATTTTCTCGGGAGACTGAAGAGGCTAGCTGAGGTCTGGGGGTGGCTATTAGGGACCATTTCCATTTCTCATCACAATTAGAGGCCCTTGCTGCTTACCTTTATGTGTTTTGCAAATAATTTCATAACTTTGGTGTCTCCTCTGAATGCTGTCAGTGATCTAATGAAAAGGAATATATTAATGTAATTAATAGGTTAAGACAACTTCCTCATTCTGGAATGCATGGACTACTTACAAATTATAGTTTCTCACCCAAAAGAATGTATTTATAAATGTGTAGAGATATGTGTATGTATCTACACACACAAAGATTTTTAGGTAGGTCTATTTCTGCAGTGAAATTGGCCTGGGCTATCAGGCAGTGACACATATACGAAATTTCAGTTACTCAACGGGCTGAAGCAAGAGGATTGTGGAATCGAGGCCATCCTAGGCAACAGAGCAACATAGTATCTCAAAAAGAAAAAAAAACAAACAAACCAGAAGTGGGGGTAGCCTTCTCTTCTGGTACATATCTAGGCTGTTTCTAACTCATACACAACGTTAATCTACTTAGGAGTCTTTGATTATTCAGACACATGGATCTACCCTTTACCAAAGAATTTCTGTTTCAGCTGCCTGGCAGAGAACACGTCAGGCAATTCTGCAGTATATTTCTCAGAAATTTTGGTTACAAGAGAAAACTTAGAGCAGTGAAGTCAGGCTATGTTCTGGGAAACGCAGGCATCTAAAAGGCTAGTCTGGGGTGGCCGTGGCAGAGAACCAGAGGATGAGCCCACGAGGAAGGAAGGCTTACACCCTACCTAGCAGAACAGCTAGTTTTTTTTTTTTTTTACTTTGTAGATTGAGCTTCTCTGTAAAATTTTATATGTAAATGCTTCGACCTAAAGAAAAGAAGAGGAAGGGAGGAAGAGAGGAAGGAAAAAAAGAAATAGGACTGGTTGACTTTGAGCTATGAGATCAGGTATGCATTATAAATGAATGAGGCAATTCCTTAGAAGACATCTGTAAGGACTGAGGAGAACCAGACAGCACTGCCCCACCAAGGCCAGTTATTAATTTGTGAGATTATGGATCTAGTGTTGATGCTTGATTTTTTGGAGAAGTCCAAAATCTTTATATGTCCAATGTCTTGAAAAATCAACCAATCAATCAGTCAGTCAGTCAGTCAGTCAGTCAGTCAGTCAGTCAGTCTGTCTACCTATCTATCCATCCACACACCCAGCCATCTATCCATACATCCAGATGAGACATAGTCTTGCTATGTAACCCAGGCTGTCCTCGAATTTGTTTTGCAGGCTAGCCTCAAACTTGCAATGTTTCTGCTGCTGTGGTGTTCCAAATGCTGGAATTACAAGCAGGCAGCACTATGCTCAGTTTTGTTTAAACTTTTGAATGCCAAAACACTAGGGGTAGACTCCTTCCTTGTGTTGTTGATTTATAACCTCTGGCCTACATGTAGGCCAGGTAGTTCATTTAGTTCTAGATATTCAACAATCTGGATCTACCTATGTCAATTCAGATGACCAGCTCTGAGGGTCAAGACTGCTCTGGGTGGTACCTTACAGGACAGGTTTTACAAGCTCTGTTCTGACAGCAGGCCCTCAGCTCCTGAAAATAGTTGCTCTAAGAATAGCCGTATTACACCATCTGCTCATTGTTTTATTGTATAGATGACACAAGTGATGGTGACACTATGTACCCTGGGGAATATTATATTTCTCAGGGACCATTTTTAATTAAATTAATTATTTTTAAAGAGAGTGTTTCCCTGTAGCCACAGCTGGCCTAGAACTGGCTATGTAGTACCAATTTCAGAGAGATCTGCCTGCCTTGCCTCCCAGGTGCTAGGATTAAAGATGTGTGCCATCATACCTGGCCATTTTTTATTTTTAAGTTTAAGCTCAGACAATGCCACAGGAAGGTATATGCTCACGGAAGTTTGGTCCATCTCTGCAACTTAACCAGACTTTACTGAAGAGATTGTGAGGACCAGTCCTAGCTGGTTTCACCTGATTTTCTGATGTGCATTGTTTTCTTTGCTTCCATTTAAACAACCTGTTTTTCATCATCATATTTCTGTATATCACCTAAAATTCTGTTTTGAGTTGAAGTGGGTATAAATGAACAAGTAAGTTTTTAATTAAGATTTGGGGTTAGACCTAGGTTGGGACATTCCTTTATATGTCATTGTTTTGAGAAATATCATTGATCAGCAGAAACATATGGATGTAAAATACAGTTTTTAATTTCACATAAACTTCCTCCATTGTAAGGTTAACTAGGAAGATAGCAGGACTCATGGCTCTTAAGAAAACAGATGTCCTTATAGAACTAGAATTATTAAACATTGGTCTTTGTGAATAGGCTTTCTTGTGCCTGCTTAGATCACCTTTACCAAATCATTTAACCTTGAAATAGATTATAGTATTTCTAGGGACAACTGGTAAATGAAGTGTGACAACACAGTGCTTTTATAAGCCCCTTAGAAAGGAATTTATATATAGTAAAAAGAAATCAATTTGACAACTTGTTTTTAAGAAATTGCCTCTAGGCCAACTGCTTTGTCATCAGCATTTTTTTTTTTTTTTTTTTTTGCCTTTGCGAGACAGGGTCTTTCTGTAGACCAGGCTGGCCTGGAACTCACAGAGAATCCCATGTCTCTGCCTCCCTTGCTAGGATAAAAGGTGTGCACCACCACTCCTGGCCTGTCATTAGCATTTTGATCTGAACTGAGTTCTATAGTGATAGTTTTTAAGGCTCTGAAGAGTTAGTGTGTGACATAGTCAGATTTCAGGTCCACTAAGTATAGACAGCTATTTAGAAATTGAGGTATTAAGGATCAATTATGTTTGGAGCAGAAATACTTGAAAACACCCTTTGCTTTGCTGAAGGGTATGTATATGATTTAATGTCAAAGTCCTCAGACTTTGACAACATTTGTCTAAAATCAGGATCAGATTAGTTCATTTAGAAAAACATATGCTGGCTGGGCCTTTAATCTCAGCACTCGGGAAGCAGAGGCAGGAGATCTCTGGAGTTCAAGGCCAGCCAGGGAGAGCCTGTCTCAAAAACACCAAAAAAAAAGATGCTATGTCACTATTGTGTGCTTATATTTTTACCTTGGTGTACTTGACAAAGCTTCTGTTTCTCCAACACTTGGACTTCCCTTTGTTTTGTCTCCTGTCAAAGCCTGCCTTGCAGACTGGCTCCCAGAGAGGGCAGGTCCCAGGAAAGCCCATCTTACTCTGTTCTCTGGAAGCTGAATGCTATACTGATCCAGTGGGAGTTTTTGTTTATTCTACACAACTCCAGTAAATGAGAAGGTATACAAAGGTCCTCAGTAAAGTACCGATAACTTATCTTTATTATACAACTGTTTTTTAACCTTTACATTCTTGGTCCATTTGGAATTTATCTTGGTAGAAGAACTGAAATATGAATCCAACTTCATTTTTTCAGATGGTTATTCAGTTGTTCAATCCAATTTATTAAACAATCCATCTTTCTCTGCCGATTTCTAATTTGTCATTTGTGCTATATGCTACATTTTCATATGCATTTGGGTCTGTTTCTTAACTTTCAGTTCTGGTTCACTGAACCAATCTGCCTGTCACGTATGTGATGGCTGTTGAGACTTTGAAATAGATATTGCTATTCTAACAGCATCCTCTTAGCATTTATTAGCTTTTAAAAACTTTTTTCTTGGCAAATTTTAGGAGGGTATTTTTTGTAAGAATTTAAAACTGTTTATCTAGTTTAAAGAATCAATTCTCTGGAGTTTTACTGGAAACCTGTGAAATCTGTAGATGATCCTAAGTAAAAAAGATATATTTACAATACCGAGTCTTCTGCTCAAGAATAAGGTACACATTTCACTTTGCTCAACATCTTTTCCATCCATTAACTGATGTTTTATTCATATAGGTTTAGTAAGTTTATTCTCTGGTAGTATGTCTTTTCTTGTTCCTATTTTGAGTCAAATCTTTTCTTCCATTTTCCTGTTAACTGGTTTTCATCAGTGTGATCTCATTGCTTTTATCCTTCTCCTTCACCATGTGTTTCTCCATGTAACAACATGAAATGGCATTAGTGTCCTTTAAAATGACTCCCAGCACTCCTCTGCACAATTCTTCAGTGGCATCCCAGTTCAGGGCTTGCTGTTGAATTTACCTGGGTATCTACTTCTGGTTTCAGGTCCAATTAGCTATGGTGCTCTGTTCTTTACTTCATGCAAATCTGCTCAATATCATTTTCTTGAAGAAGCTTCATGTCCCTTTAAAAATATCCCTTTAAAAAATTATTCGCACTGAAATTTCATGGGCTCCTACAAGCAATCAGTGGATGCTGAGGGAGGGAGAATCAGTTTTCTCCAGGGACTGGCTCCCTGAGAGGTTATCTAATTCCACATGGGCAGCCCTAAACACAGGTACACATGAGCACCACTAAATGGACTCAGTACACATATATATTTATGAGTGTATGTATGTATGTATGTATGTGTATGTAGCGATAGCAATCAAAGAAGAGGACAAGAAAATGAGGAGTGGGACTGGGAGGGATGGAAATAATGCAAATATAATACTCATGTATGAAATTCTCAAAAATAAAATAAAATAAATTAAAAAAATCCCCATCCACTTCTGTCTCATTTCCATGCTTTACTTTTTAGTATAATGTATCACTATTTATGATACAATGCATATTTACTTGCTTATTATCATTGTTCCCACATAACAGAGATTCCATAGGGCAGGGACTCTGTTTTACTCACTGCACATAGAACATATGAGGTTGGCATTTATCAGCTACCAGAAAACACTCCGGATATAGAATTGGTGAAGCTTCTCACCTGATAAGCTCCAGGGCTCGGACAGCAGAGCTGCAGATGATCAGCATCAAGACTGACTTCTTCTCACTGTGGGTTTTCCTAAGCTTTACCCACTTAGGACAGACTAAGAAAAAGGTCACAAAAATATTTAGGAGAGAGCGAAATAGAGTCACCAACCCCGAATATTTTCCACTTCTTTACTAGTGTTTTAAGAAAATAGGATGTAAGAATTGTTTATTATATTTTCTGTTAGTTTAGATATTAGGTTAAAATAAAGTACCATTGATTTACAGCATAAAACATGTTATATGCCAAGTATCCAAATGCAAATAGTCTTAGAACCAAGTGAAAAATGTTTTAGGCTAATACATTTTCAGTATTTACATTTGATGCTTGAAGACAATGCTCACCAATATGAGAATGGTGATTCAATTAGGTTAAATTTAGAGACATCCAGCATGACATAAAACGGAGCTGACAAATGACAGCCAACATTTCTTAAATGTTGTGTTAAGAATTTTGCACATTTTTAACTTTTGTTTTTTGGTCTTTTTGAGAACAACTACAGGTCTCCCTGTAGCCCCAGCTGACCTGGAACTTGCTATGTAGCCCAAGCTGGCCTCAAACTCACAGAGATCCGCCTGCCTCTGCCTCCCAAGTGCTGGGACTACAGGCGTATGCCACCACGCCCGGCATATTTTTAAGTTTTTGTAATCTAGTAACTTATTCCCACTGTAATCCAGGATTATATTTGCTAAATTAATTATGAGAAAGGTATCTGGGCTCAAATTGGGTATCATAAGAACAGTTTATAGTCTGAAAAAAAATGTCAAATCTCTTCATGTAAATCATTTCACTGCTGGACACAAATAAGTGACAATTTGATATGAATAATCTATTTATTTTAGTTATGCACACAAACTTAAATAGCAAATTAGACTGACAGTAATAGCTATGGTCTGAGTTCTGAACATGTAAACAGAATTTGAAGATCTCACAGCTGGTTAGAGTTATTTGGTTCAATTCCCTTATGTTTTAGATAACAAAATTGAGTCCAAGTGAGTAGTCAGTGGACTCTCCTTGCCCAAACACCAGGAGGTTCTAGGACTAGAACAGTAGCCTGTAGATTCCTAGACCAGTAGTTGTAATACGCTGTAAAACCCAAATGAGGCCAAAACCCTAATTCCCAAAGCCTGGGCAAAACAGGAATACAGTAAACAGTTAAAGAGGTCAAGAATTTACATTAAACAATGGGCATAGCAGTGCAAGCTTGTAATCTTAGTACTTGAGAGGCTGAAGCAGGAGAATCATGAGTTTGAAGCCAGCCTGGGATACGCAGTAAGACTGAAAAAAACAAAAACAAAAACAAAATGGAGCCCTAAATCTCTCTCCAATCAAAATAGAAACTTTTAATTTTAAATGTGGTTTAAAATTTTTTATTTTAGAGAGACAGACTTTATTTATTTTGGTTTTTTGAGTTTTCCTACATAGTCCAAGCTAGCCTTGAACTTGTGGTGATTCTCCTGCCTCAGTCTCTCAAGTGCTGGGATTACAAGTATGCATCAATATACAAGATTTCAAGCCTTGTTTGTTTATTTTGGCAGAATGGTGACCTGGTGAATAGTTTTTAAAATCAGACTTTACTTACTTTCTTTTAGATATGAAGATAGACTGTGAGTTAAATCATTGGCCTTGAGGAAACAGGAGTCTAGAAATATGAAAAATATGCTTTGCTAAGAATTTTGCAAACATGGAATTAAACTAGATCAAATGAGAAGGAAGCATTCTTCAATGAGTTATAAAACTTGAGTCAACTGGAGAAAACTATAGACCCATATCATTAATGAACATAGATGCAAAAATTCTCAATAAAATACTTGCAAACCGCATACAGACACATCAAAAGGATCATCCACCATGATCAAGCTGGCTTTATTCCAGAGATGCAGGGATGGTTCAATATACG